TACATCTCTTACATTTACAAGAATAAATTATAAAATTATATATCGGTGCATTATGTAATCAGTAGGATCGTTTGAAGTTTAATAAAACTCTTTAAAAAAAGTTTTAAAAAATCGAAGGATTAAATATAGGCCAAAAAAAACGAAAAATAAAATTTTGATAGGTATAAAAATCCGTCTTGACAGAGATTACGGTAAGAGATACCAAATGTAAAGTCATCATCAGAGTCATTCCCTCTTCGACCGCCGTTCGGAGTTAGGCTTCTGCTTACAGAGTCTGGTCCTGCTGACTCTCACTTGAACCAACTCTATTCTCCCATTTCAATCTATTCCGCGCTTCCTGTATGCCTCTGTATGTACACTGTACTCCCAGGAGATGCGAGGCCGACCTCTGGACCTTTTTTCTTCTGTGTGAGTCTCGTAACTCTTCCTTGCGCTTCTATCTGGATCCATCCTAAGAGGTTTGTGCTCCTCTAGAATGGTCTCCGCCGGTCTGAAGTTGAGAATAACCCGTATGGTGGCTTTCCGTATCATATTCCCTTGGGTTGTATCCGACTTCTGTGTTTTGTTGTGAGGATCCACGATTCTGAAGAGTACGATAGGATAGAGAGGAAATTTGATTTATAGACGGCTAGTTATGTAAAGTCAAGATTCAAAATGTTCTCTCGAACAGCTACGAGATAAAACAGAGCCTGAAGCCGGGGGACCTTATTTCTCTAGTTCTCTTTAATTTAGGGCTTGAGCGAGCTGTTAGAACAATAAGGACCAATTCTGAAGAGACTATTCAATCGACTTACTCAATGCCTTGCGTATGCGGACGATATTCCCTTCAGCGCTTGCACATTGTCGACCCTTGCGGGATCAATCGAGGAACTCAAAGCGACAGTAATGCAACTTGGTCAGAGGATAAATGAAGGGAAGAGTCTGTAGATGAAGTCCTCCAGGAATAATGTAGTGATGGATTAATGGGTACATGTTAATCAGTAACTTTGTTCAACAGGAACAGAACTCAAATACCTCGAAGTGATAGACCAGAACAAAATGCAGGCCGAAATAAGACCAGAATTACAGCAGGCAATAATTGAAATCTAAGGAACAGACATTAGTCCGAGGTGCAGACCACTTTTTATCAAATTATTCACATCCAACTGAAACTTCGCTAATAGATTCATCTCATCGTAACCTGCAAATATTTTATTTACAAAAGCTCTTTGAATTGGGACGTTTTCAATCTGGAGAACGCCAAACTTTGTCTATTTAATTATGTACTAAAATCTCGTAAATACCTATGGCTTTCTACTTGGATCGTAAGATAATTTGATTACAAAATCGAGAAAAAAGGTAACCTTAAAAAATATTGGGCCGTTTGGCCTATATAACCTCGTTAATTTGAAATGTTGCAGATATAGGTCACGCCAAACGTTCCAATATTTTTGTAGGCCACCTTTATTCTTGATTTATTGATCTCATCAGCTTGCGATTCAAGCGGAAAGCAAAGTACGAGTTTTTAGTGCATAGTTAAATAGTCAAAGTTTGCCTATCATAGCTTCATAGGAATTTTTTTTTCTTGTTTTGAGTTCCTTAATTCATATTTTAGTTTGGCCACATGACCCTGAAACACACTGTATAACATATATAATCAATATAATGCATGATAGTTTGATTTGAAAGAGGGAAAATTCATCAAGGTTCCTAGTGATAAAACTTCATGAAATGTTACTCAATAATCATTTGAAATGTACAGAAAGCATAAAAAAAAATCAAAAGTTTGGTCACATAAAATAAGGGAATTATTTTTATAATACTTCAGAAAAGAAAACTAAAAAAAGCAATCTTTTGACAAAATGCAGAGCAGCTTTTGTTTTCTTTTTTATGTAGGAATATTTATCCCGACTCTGAACCAATCAACTGGTCTTCGATAATTTTCCTTCAAAACCAAATTAGGTACTTTTAAGTAGTCGAGTTGTACCAGTATCAAGTATGAATTCCTCAATCAGTGTTTATCTGAAAGGTGTTATGAAGACGAAGAAACCAGATAAAGTTTTATATTTTTTATTCGAACTGACTCCCGCAGTGCCACATCCTATGTCCTGAAGACGACCTGCAAAGTGGGTCGAAACGTCGGCAAAAATTAAAATAATTAATATATTTTATTTTTTTTATTTATCTGACCGCACCCTCAACTAACTCCTTCTCATTTTATATTTTTTATTCTTCTTCTTCTTTTATTGGCCCAACAGGCGCATGAAACTTCACTTAGCCCGCTTAACAGCCGCCAACCATTTCTGTTTATAACAAGGAATCTTCAGCTGTCACGGATTCTGTCCCACAGCATCTCTCCATCGGTCCTTCTGCCTACCAAGGCGGCGCACATCATCCGGAACGTTAATGCAGGGGTACCCATCCCCCCTTCAGAAGAATCTACCTCTCCTCTCCTCCCAAGATATTTTATTGTTCACCTTTTCTTAATAACAGAGCAAGCTAAGGTAGAATTAGAAAAATCATAGATCATATGCAATTACACTTGCTGCGGTCTGTTCAATGTTTGCCTCTAGTCTCTTAGTCCGAAAATTCATAACGCCATCGAAATTTGCCTCTCTCAGTAATTCAAAAACCCGCCAAAATATGCCTCCCTCAAAAATTTCGATGGCGCTACTAAAACCCCCTTCTGGGCCCCCCTGCGTTAATGTACAATTTATGAGCCACTCTTTCCTCGTTCACCCTCATCACATAGCCAGCCACTTAAGCCTCTGTATAAGGATATACGAGGAGATGCTACATTTCTTGTAGAGCCTAAGTATTTTATGTTGTTTGTTATGTAAAAAATTATAAAACATGTCAGGAATCATCGATATCAAAAAAATATTGAAAACTCATTATGGGAATGGTCATACCTGTCTTCAAATTTCAATACAACTCCACGTTCACTTTTTTTTTTAATTTAAGAAATTTGTTTCAAAAGTTCTTAATTAATTATTTTAGAAGAGCGTTTAAGATGAAGTGTTAATTAATAAATAAATTAAGGGTGCAGTAATCTTCAACATCAGTTTTATATAACTCTACATTTCGGTCAAACTAAGGTATGTTCTTTCATACATTTATAAATATATTTTGATCAAATCACTAATTGAATGCATTAAACTATCATTAAGTATTATAAAAAACATAATTAATAACGTTCCTTATCAATATGGCTATGTAACAACAAAGAGAATTTTTTATAACAAAGTGAAGGTCACGTGCATGCAACTGATGCATTCAATTAGTGACTGAAGATTAAAAGATTCAGATACGAAAGATCATATCTGATGACGCCAAGTTCCGTGTAAGATTTTGTATTAAAAAAAAATTGATGGTGAAGATTACTGAAGCATTAACTCATTTAGTTGAGAGTTGAAATTCCTGAATAAATTTACTCAATGCAACGATGTGCATAAACAATTAATTTAAACAAAGGTATCATTTTTCATTCGAAAAAAAAACTTGAAAATGAACGTCTAAGATATTTCTTTGTAGATTAATAATAAAAGGTTACCTAACGTTTTAATAATTTATTATTTGGTGCTTTCTACTGCTTGGTTCACATAAATATTTGTATAAAACAATCGGATTGAAATCAAGGATATGCCAAATGACAGAAATATTATTTTACTGTTGATGTTGATCCAATTGTCCGTATCGTGACAGAATGTTATATTACTCAATAAAATAGTATAAAAAAAATTAAAATTATTGTAATCCATCGGAAAAAGCTCCTACTCATAGGCTCTTTAAAAAGCTTGATAGCTGGAGGATTGGTAAAGCCCTGAGGCTCTGGCAAGGCCATTGTGGTCATACTTTGTGATACAGGTTGTGATACATTATAGGTGATAATAGGTTGTGATACATAAAATTGCTTTGGCGAACGTTTGAATCATACAATAAAACTTTACATACCGACAATCAATCATTGATCAACACATACTTACTCGTTACTCCTTATTTCGTTTATTAGTAGACTTAGTAATAGGCCACAAAGGACATGCTTATCTTGAGGAGACTGAAAAGGAACTGGATGAGAGATAATCTTTCCCCGAATAACGGAAGCTAATAAAGATCAAGAAGAGGTGTTACTGGTTACTATGCTTCCTCATGCTTAAATGTATTTTTTAAATTCATTACAGCACATCTTATTGCTAAATTTAGGATAGATTTATATTTAGATTTAGATTTAATCGAAGCATATAAAAACATTGGAGGGTGTAGGATGTAAGGTACAATTTTTGTGGTTACCGGGTCACTCAGGTATCAGAGGTAATGAGCTAGCCGATATCATGGCAAAACAAGCAATTACAGAAGGAACTCCAGCAGGGGATGCTTTCGCAAAAGAAGTAATAGCTTTGGTAAAGCGAAAGGCTCTAGAAAAATGGCAGGGTCTCTGGCATGTGTTAAGAGAGAATAAGTTAAGAGTGATCGAGCCCTCTGTAGTTCCCAATCGAGCGGACCTTCAGATAAATAGAAGAGAAGAAATAATCCTGACAAGGCTCCGAATCGGCCACTCACGGCTAACTCATGAGCACCTGATGACAAAGGGGACGCCCCCTCAGTGTCTTTGCTGCGGGTCAATTTAACAATCAGGCACATTTTGACTGAATGTTATGGATATGAAAATCAACGTAATGAAGTTGAATTGGAGAACGATATAACTGAAATTCTAAAAAATAATACCAAATTGGCAAAAAAAGTCTTTACATTTCTTCAAATAACGCACCTTTACAACAAAATTTAAAATTTGCTGACTCTTTTTTTGTTTTAAATATTTTATGCTTTCAATTTATTGTTAAATTTAATTTCATCTAAAATCAATGTAAAATAAATATTTTGTAAGGGCTAAAATGACCCGTAAGAGGTTGAGGAGCCCCGCCATTGTTGTAAATAAATAAATTTAGGATAGGTATGGATTATGATTTAAAGAGAAAAAAAATATTCTAATAGGTGGATTATCTTTATGGATCTGTTTGAAATTCAATTTTCCTGGACCAGATGACGAGAGAACGAACTTCCTCCCCCACGACAGAAGAAATAAGGAGAGGCGGGAAGAGGGAGAAGTGGAGGAACCCTGAGGCCGCAGAACGGCGGTGGTAGTGATGCCATGTGGTTGTCCCTTCTCCTGTGTGTAGGCCTGGCCTCAGCGTCCATCCAGCCGGAACGCCAGGTTCTCCAGCACATCGAGGAGTCCGTGCAGGTAGGAGCACTAACTATATTAATTGTAGTTCGACTCCTAGGATACTCTTCTCAACCAAGTGTCTTTGGATGTGATTAAGGAAAAGTTTCTAAACTCAGCGGTGAGCTCATCGATGGTTTCGCTCAGTAGAGAAATGTATCTGATACTATTAGTACGTGGTACAAACTCCTTTTTATCAAGTTATTAACATCTGCTTGAAACTTCGTGTCATCACTATTTTACTTACGAAAATTCTCGGAATTGGGGCCTTTCAAAACTGGAGAGCGGCTTTGTCTATTTAACTAGGTACTAAAAACTCGTAAATACCCATTTGTTTTCTTCTTGAATCGTAAGATAATTTGAGCACAAAATCGAGAAAAAAGATGGCCTTCAAAAATATTGAACCGTTTGGCCTGACCTACACACCCAAAATATCAAAATAATGAGGTTATATACGCATAACAGCCCAATATTTATGTAGGCCACCTTTTATCTCAATTTTAGATCAAATTATCTTTGAAGATTATTCCACGATCTAAGTGGAAAGCAAACGGGTATGTTCGAGTTATCAGTACCTAATTAAATAGACAAAGTTTACCGACTTCTAGAATGAAAACGTACCAATTCCAAGAGTTTTATAAAATTAAATAGTTGTAGGTTACGTTGAGATAATGCTATTCACGAAGTTTCAGGCGGATATTAATAATTTAATAAAAATAGGTCTATACCACGACCGATCTGTACGACTGACTATATCGATGAGCTTGGTCCTATACTTTGGCAAAAAATAGTTCTATTATTATTTTAAAATATAGTATTTAAAATGCAAAGTATTTTTTTTTTCTTCGAAATATAGTGTATTTTACACTTTCCAGTTTTGACATTTTTTCTATTTTTTTTTACTATAAATTGCCTATAGATCAATTTAATGAATAATCACACTTAGATCTAGAATATTATTTATTAATGAAAATTTCGGAGAGTCTCTGATCCCCTATTTAGGAAATAATATGCACCAAAATTGGGTAAGTCACAAGTCCATAATAAATATAGTTTAGTGGTTAATGGTTTAAATTCAACTAAAATTTTTAATAACTTTATATTATATTTTAGTAACACAATTTTAGGGCATATTATACCCTGAAGAGAGGCACAGAGATTCACCAAAACATTCATAAATAATATTGAAGATCTAAGTGTGATTATTTATTAGATTAGCATACAGGCAAATAATAGTGAAAAGATAATAATTTATTTTAATTACAAAGTACTTAATAATCGTTTTCAGAAAAATCATTTTTAATAATAACTCCCAAAATATTTTTTATTTTAATTACAATAAAACAAAATACAAATACAAAATACTTAAGTCTCATATAGTGGCGTTTTACAGTTAATTCCTTAAAAATAGATTTTTTTTTTCGGAGAAAGGAGGTACAACTTTAGAAAAAATTGTATGTACTTAAAAAACAATATTTCATTCAATTAATATTATTTCCGGAGTATTTATTATAAAATTGACGTTTGGAAAATGATTTCATTTTAAATATTATTGTCGAGCTCTCTGCTTCGTACCTCAAACCTCGTACGGTTGCTTCTTGAAAATTCGGTCTATGTAATAAATATATCATATGATTAATATGTATTTTTTTCAAGTTTAAAGAATGTAAAACAAATATATTTTCAGTTGCGTGCTCTAACTTATAAGTTGATTGATGTGGCAATAACAAAAGGTTACTGTCAGGTATTTTCTTATGTTCATCGATATAAGCATCTTATGTAGGTAGCATGTGAAGTCGAAATTTCTACGCAATTTTTATTTTATAATTATAAATATAGATTACTGATTTTCAATCGTATGCAAGACAGTTAGACATCTACAATGTTCCATTTCGTCCCCGAAAAGCAGTATAATTATGAATAGATCATGAGTCAGTTACTATATTATAATCCATGTGTGTTGAATCGTTAAGGCATGCGTATCTGGAACGAAACTGTATTTAATCTTATCCATTTATTTCTTCCTTTTTTATAAAAATGAGGGGAAAGAAAAAATAATAAAAAACAAAAAATCTTATTTATGTGTACTAAATAAATTATTTTTACATATATAAAAAAAAAATTAAAATTACATGGCCGAAAATGTATTTTGCTAAAATTTAAATTGTTGAAAAATCGTGATACCACAAACTGTATAAAAAAAAATTAGAAATTCTTGATAAACATTTCAGATTCATTAGTATATACTTCATACTTTATTTTTAATATATAATATACAACTCAACATGTTTATTTTTGTTAATTTATTTTATTTACATACAATACTCTACTATCCAGTAATAATAGTGAAAATGAAAAATTAATCTTTATTTTTGGTGCATTTTATTCCCTAGGAATAACAAAGAAGATTACATACATATTTAGTCTAGAGATCTTATTTATTCTACAGAAAATTAACACAATTTTTTTATTAAATCTTCCCTCGGAAATTAATAAAATTGTATTCTATCTATAGATTATATTTTAAAGACAGATAATTAAAAACATGGATATGTTTTGCAAAAGAAAAGTGGTATTTGTTATGTTGAGACGACTGGCTTAAGGTAAACTGAGTTAACAGCTGTTTCTCAAGTCTTCATAAGTCTTCCTTTGACTAACCTTAAAAGATGATTAATGAGATACTCAGGAATTCTGGTAAGGTTGGTTCAACATTGTTTTCCTTAAGCGTGTTTGTTGTTTATAATTTAAATATTACTTATGTTCATTTTTAAATAATATTCCATTTTTACTTATATATATTATTAAACAGTTTTTATTATATTTATTAATTAATTTTACTTAGATTCAATCTATGAATAATTTATAACTATACGACTTTGAATCAATAATTATTTTCATTATTTATTTCAAAATAACAAATACTTTCCAGATTAATTATATATGTATATTTACTTAGATACTTTCAATGTTGATTATAATGTCATATCTGTAGTAATTTTAATCACAATTATCAATCATTGTAAAATAAATTTAATATTAGTAGTAATTACTTTCATGAAATAATAGCAATTAGAATTACAAATTAAGCAATTGCAATTAAAAACTACAGTTTTAAGCAATCGTAGTTTTATTTTATAAATTAAGTAATTTTAATTGGTAATTGAAATTAGTTTGTCTAAATAGCATATATAGCATTGGCTACATACTCTCTGAAAACGTATAAAAAAAGTATAGATTAGGAATAAAGAGAATAAGAATTAAACACATATAATTTCACTTAAATGTAACAGTAATTACAATTACTTAGCGTCAAGAAGTAATTGTAATCAAAAGCCTTAATTATAATTGCACCAATAGAAAGAAGTAATTCCAATTAATTAACACAATTATTTTTCTCGTAATTGAATGTGTAATTAAATAATCATGTAATTAATTACTGACTCACTCTGTTCTATATGATGGGAGTAAAATGACTGCGGTATAATTCTTTTTTTTTCTGTTTGTCTAGATAGTAAATTCGAAAACGTATTATAATAGTATATGTATATTTAAGATAAAATATTGAGAAACTCGTAGGAATAAGAAAACACAATATTTGTAACAATAATTTTTCGAAGGAAAAAAAATAAAGATAAATAAATTTAAATTTAAAAAGAAATTGTAATAATATTATTTATTTAAATCTGTATCAAATTTTGAAAACGAAGGAGCAAGGTACTATAAATACAATTTCGTTCATCAATCTTTTTTTGAAATTCAAATGTTTTAGTAAATGTTGAAAATTATCTACGTAACTGGTTTAAGGTACAGTTAAAATGTGATATTTATAGATACAAATTTACTTGGTATAAGTCCGCCCTGAACTTTAAAATCAAGCGAATTCTCAGGATATCATTATTTCTAAATTATATACTGAAGGATTATTGAAAAATCATTAAGTTATTTTTAATGTTGCTGAACTTTTAAGAGTGTTTTTGTGAATTATGTGAAAAAAAAGTACATCAAAAGGCATAAAGAAGCATAATAATTTTTTGTTCCTCACTTTTTGTAATTTGTTTTTTAACGCTACCTGTATTATTTGTATGTATTAGAATGGTACAGCATATTCGTTCAGCATGCACTATGATTCAGTATATGCTAAATACAAACGCCAATGTAACCGGTACAGATGTTATCAGGGGTTAAACAAAGCAGTATATCTTTGCGGAAATTCTCCGTCATCCAATTACATCAATTTCACCTTCTCCCAGGACAGAAAGGTTGTTAGGAACCAGCAGACATGCTTTCGGCCTATGCATCTCTTTATTCTTTTTTCTTTTTTTTTAAATACTGAAACTTTTTTGTTTTCTGGACGAACTAATAGCACCAATTTTCAATAATATCAGAAAATTCTTACTTCGCCTAAGAAATTATGGAGTCATTCGTCCTAATGTTGAAAATTGAGCTTATTACTAAATATAAACGCAATTGATCAATTGTTAGTCAAGCCAAGTGAACGTGAATAATATTGATATAAGTGAAATATATCTAGGTGGAACAGCTCATTACTAATATTTGAAATATTTTAGCTTCTTCTTCAGAGAAATGTCAGAGACGCGAAATTAAATCAAACAGGCTTCCTCAGATACGATCGAAGAAGATTTCTCAAAAGCTGTTCTTACATAATTGAATTATCACAAGACGTCAGCGGGGTGGAAAAAGAGGTCAATTTATTATTACAACCTCTGATGATGAAGCAAAGAAAATCTTGAAGGATTTCCAATTTATGGGTTAAAAAGTGCTTTACAAGAGTCGGGATCAGTAGCAGTGTGAATTTAAATACGTCTTAAAATCATAAATTGGATTGGAGATTTGATGAAGTGCTGTCATTACATGACAATAATTTAAACATGTCTTACAATCATAAATTAAAATGGGTATTTTATGAAATGCTGTTAATCGCTAATATAATATGAAAAATACTATCGCAAGGGAAAACAACTGCAACTTCATTCAATTGAGAACAAGGTTTCGTCTTATCC